TCCGAAATAATTTTTTCTACATAATGGCAAACTCTTATCTTTATAGTAAGGCTGAATTCTTTGTCATAACTTCAAATTACATATATTTTTTTCTTCTTGAAAACCACATGTCTAAAAAACTACCTTTTTTAGATGCATTGATCTCTTGACATAATAAATCATCCAGCATTTTGAGAGAAAATGAAAGTATCAATTTTCCAGTTTATCACACCGGCACGCTACGTCTATTTTCGCATTATCTTTTACCCGCAACATATCGAGTGGTTTTGCATACATACTTATGTACATACTAACATACAAGTACATAGTTGTGGCTAAAGTTGAACATTGATATATACGTACGTACAACCTTATATCCATTGCAATGTGCATCGCATTGCTAACGGTTTATTACTTAATTTCTTTTCGTAACTTGACCATCTTCTTTTCTCGACTTCTTCATCGCATTTCGCCTCAAGCATTCGTTTCGGTGGCTGTTTTGATTTTTCCACTTAAAGTCTAACCCACTCCAATATTTGGCGGGCATTAGTATCTTCAACGGTTACTTGGTCAAGACGAAAAATTCAGTTGCCAATCGGACGCGTTCAATTAAACTACGAACAAAGCGCGAAAGTAAACATTTCATTTTCAATTCACGTGTCGCCGAGTGGAAATTAAGTGCCGTCACCTACAGTTACTTAATTAAATAAAAAGTTTTGAAACATTAGTGTGAAAATGTGAGTTCTCAAAAACTACTTGTAAAATTTTAATAATTTTTGTTTACCATCAACAATTTATTGCTACAGCTTTTTCAAATAAGCATTAGTTAAGTCATTTGATGATTGAATTAAAAAAAACAATTTTTGAAGTATGATAAGCTGCGAATGTAGCAAGTGTTATGCGTTGTAAATAAACTTTGATAATCAAGTCGCTTAAAAAATATATATAATGTTTCTAATATTTTCCCAAACAATTTTCCACATCTTTTTAGTAAAACTTTTGCACAAGAAACTAGTAACTTAAGTTTATTTCTCGAGCTGACAAAACTGTTTGGGTTTTTGCTTACAATTTAGATGGTGCAAGTTTGTTTTTATATTCCTTGGTCACTTCTTTCACAGCCTAAACTAAAACCAGTAACGGTAAAAACTTAGCGTAAAATCTATCGCTATCATTCTTGATATACAAGCTTTAACGCCCATAGTGGATCCAACACTACAGTTGTGTCTTTGCATTCAAATGAATCGAAAAAGGAAGCTTTTAGACTGTGTACTGATCAAAATTTTACTAATTGGGCTTGGTCGGGATAACTTTACAATGATGATCTGAGGCAACTAGTGAATGACGAGACGAATTAATTTTCATATGCTTTTGGAGCTGGAGATTGTTGTAGTCAGATCATTAAGATGGCCCTAAATCTTCATTAAACGAAAACTTAAGTCCCACCGTCTGATAAACTATCAAGATTTCAATTTGCCATTTTATACTGTCAAAATAAAGTAAGATACATATGTATATTAATGCAAGTAAATAGGTGTATCAGCTATAGAAAAAGATGATCTAACCCCAAAAAGGATTGACAATTTTAGACTATAACGAACCGAACGTGTTACAAACATCATAAAATATTTCATGCGCCTTTGATTCGGACTAATTACGTGAGTGTGTAATGTTTGGCTAAGTCCTCACTTAGTCACTTAGGACTTATTTAATTTTATACACCTAATAGAGTATATTAAATTTGCCGCGAAGTTTGTAACACTCAGAAGGAAATGTCGAAAACCCCCGAAAATATATATATAAATGATCATCATGATGAGCTGAGTCGATTTAGACATGTTCGTCCGTCTGTCAGTTTTTGAAATTTCGATTTAAAGTTTTGCACAAGTCCTGGTCTCCCCAAGAAGCTATCGGAATCGCCGATATCGAGCCACTATAGTATATAGCTAGCATACAAAGTGAACGATTGGCATCATGTCCTGGTATGTAAGACTTTTTTATTAGCCGAGAATCTTTCCGAAGTTTTGCATTATCATCCAAGGCAGCGGTATAGTCTCCGAAAAAATTGTTTAGTTCGGACTACTATAGCATATAGCTATAGCTTTTATAATTTTGAAGGGTATTTTAGCTTCGCTTTAAACGAAATTAACGTTTTTAAATTTTTTTTTACCTAAATTCGCAGGGCTCACCTTTTGTCGAAGATCATCAGGGCACCACCACAAAAGAGAAGTTCGAGTAATCACAGGTGTTCGTATTAATGAATTAATTTGTCTTTCATTATACAATTTTAACTTGCTTACCTAAATTTGTGCATTTAGCATTCAATGAGCATACTGCAATTGGTTATTTGAAGTTTCACCTTAACCTAATTGTAAATCGTTGATTATATTAACTTTGCGGTAACGTGAATAATGTAAATAATCGTTAAGCCTGAGTTGAAAATTAATTATTTATATGTCGGCAGATATCTTGTTGTGTGTTGTGGCATGTACATTTTGGCAAACCGCAAATTTAGGTAAATATAATAGTTAAAACCAAAACAAATACCTAGAACTCCTGCCGAAGCAAAAATTAATTGAAAACTGTAGACATTTATAAACAATTTAACAGAAATTAACATTCGTGGAATACACCATTAGAGACTACAAATTGACGGTTAATGTCCGTCACATTTGTCACAACAACAGTGCAACATGAATTCATACATACATAATACCAGAAGTGTCCTAAGTGGCGCAAAAGTCAAGTGAGGTCGACGAATGTTTACTTCACTGGCAAAATATTTGCTTTGTATATTTTTGTTTTGCGACATTGTCAGCAAATGTTATCTTGTATTCGCTTGTAGGCATACGAATCTTAAATGACTTTGTGGGTAATTAAAATTTAGGGAGTGATAAAATTCATAAGAAAAGTTTGTTTGTAGTTTTTTCTATAGCTTAGGCATTAATTGAGAAAGAGGGAGGAAACAATGCACTGAACAATGAACAAATTATCTGTATAATTAAAATGATTTGATATACAATAACATAACGGTTAGGTTTTGCAAACTATTTCAAGGCTAATTATACATTATGTATTCAACGATGAAAACATTGGGAAGCGATTTAAAACTTGTAAAAATCCGCATTTCCCGGATAACTTCTGTATAACTGTGAATATGTTGAAAACTCATCGTTCGATCGTCGTTCGAATACGTAAGTAGGTATTACGACCTAAGTAATGCTTGAAAACGACAGTGTAACTTCTAAAGCAATGTTACAGTCTTTTGTAATATGTATACGTCACTTTTCCGCAGCGTTGTTGAACTTTCGGATACGTGTCACGTTTTATCCGGGGTAAACTTCTAACGTACTGAACCCATTGCAGTAAAATTTTGCACACTGTGTCCAGTTAATCCAACTTCAAATATAGAAAAGTTTATGTTTCAATTAGAAGTAAAACAATTCAGCATTAAAAGTAAAGTTTGTCACATTAAATTAAACCAAAAGTATTCAAGAAATTGCCTCTCCGTGGATTTGAACCTTTGACCGCGGGTTCGCTATTGTCTTATAATTGCCTTTTTTTCTTAAAACTGTAAAAAATCGGAAGTTAAGTAAGCTTCAGACGACTAGGAGGAAGTTCTAGATATTAGACACATATTTACGTCCGTTTATGCCAAAAACCTTTCTCTGATTGAGGAGCATAATTTATTAAGTTTAACAACTTACCATCTCTGTGCTTGCGGTTTTGAGAAGACATTACCAAGCATTACAACACCGGCGCGTACATAATTGTAATTTGTAATATACAGGTTGGTTGTGAACTCTCACCAAGAATAGCACTAATAGCTCCAAATGTTTTTTTTCTCAAGTTGGTACATCTGTCGTGAGAACACATGCAAAGTAACAAGTCATTCTGTTAAATTATTCTTTGTTTACAAGCCATTTGAAGTTGACATGTCAAAGTATTTTTTAATATGGAAAAAATGTAATATCGCGCAGTGATTAGATTCTTTGTTTGGAAAGGTCTAAAAGCAAAGGTAATTTATGAACAATTGTTAGAAGTGCATAAGGCCACCTTCAAAACGCACCGATCCACGTGAAGGACGACCAAAATCCGCAACACCAGAAATCATTGAGCAAGTTCATAATATTGTTAGTGAAAATCCAAGTTTGACTAAGCGTGAAATTGCTGTTTCCATAGGCATCGCAGACGAACGAGTACCTCATATTTTACACGGAGAAATACATATGAAAAAACTGTTTGGAAAGTTAATGCCGCACATGTTAATAAATCAACAAAAAACTGAATCGAAAACAATTTCTCAGCATAATTTGGAGCGAATAAAACCGATTTCTTGCGTCATTTTATAACTATGGATGAAACTTGCATCTGCCACCATGATCCTAAATTGAAACAAGAACGATTACAGTGGACTGAAGTTGGTTGTTCAGCTCCGAAGCAGGTTAAGTCACAACGATCAACAAAGAAGTTTATGGAATCAGGATTTTGGGATGCAAAAGGAATTTTGTTGATGATGATGCAGAAAGGTAAAACTATCAACTCTGAATAGTATATCAGCCTTTGTGATCAGCTGGATTAAAACATTCGTGAGAAAAGACCTGGTTTGCAGCACAAAAAAAGCACAAAAAATCATTTTTCATCAAGACAATGCACCTGCTAACAAAGAAACAATTCCTTCGTGGAAAGCGTTTTTCGTCGAATAAAGAAGCTATTTCAGCCGTAGACTTGTATTTTGCAGAGCTTGCGGAAAGCCATTATACTTGTAGGATGGCATAAAATTATTGGAGGATCATTGGAATAAGTGTACTGAAGTTAAGGGAGATTATATTGAATAAAAAAATATATTTCGTACAAAAACAATATTTTTTCATTTCGAGAGCAGAAACTTTTCAACCAACCTGTATCTATGCATGTAATTATCTGTTTATAGTTTTCTGCTTTCTGGATTTTTGAAGCATTCGCCTCAGTACTGGTGAGTATATACATATGTAGAATGTACATTGTACATATATACTTATATGTATATGTTCAATCATCTTCCCACATTGTAAGATATTTTAACTACTTACCCATAAAAAGCGGCTGTGATAGTTGTGGCATTGTGACAGTAACCAAGAAAGTGACAATTACATAATGAACTCGTTTTTTGTAATAAAAATATGCAATAATGCTGCATCGGGATGTTTATACGCACATATTTGTCAACTCTGTTTGCAACAAGGAAACCTAAAAATGCAGTAATTCGACAAGTGCGTAACGTCTGGCGAGATAGCGTTTGACATGCCACCAAGACCTGTTAAACGAGTGAAAATCGGAACCGGCATCACTTGTCTCAACATACTTTTGCTTTTCTGCTGCAACAACAAATTATAAAAGCGCATGCGGGTACAACTTCTCCTTCGAATTCAATAGTTAATAACAACAAGTTGCAACTTGTCATATGACTTGGGATCTGGTTGTCTTCGCATGACAACTTGTTGCACGTGACACTGTTACACATGAATATGCAACGCAGAAGGAAGCAAGCTGAAAAATTAAATGAAATTAAACAAATTAGTAAATAAAGCCACTCACAGTTTTCATGCCTGCTCGAAATAGGTAACCCCACCACAAAAAACTGCCAAAAAATAGTCTACTCGTCTTTTTAACAATTTTCAAATTGAAACCTTCCGTATATCTTAATATTAATGTGAGATCAGTATGACTTTCGTAAATAGTTTTCTCATGTCAAAATATTTTCGAAATCGGCCAATAACTTTTCATGTCTCCAGATATCGAATATATGGACCCCAGTGCCTACGGTTCCCATTTTTATCAAAAATATCTGTCAATTTTTAAGACTTAGCATTAAAGTACGGAGAATCATAATAGGACAATAAGAGATTACCCTTGTATCAAACATGGATAAAATCGAGTCAATACTTCTCTTAACGGCTCTCTTCGGCAGGCATTATACCGTATGTATCGATCAATCATCGTCATTCTCGCCTAGTAATAATGTTGTAATGACAAAAAGGGGCCTAATATAAGAGGCTATACACCTTATATATAAGTAGGTCAATATGTAAGTTATCTTGGCAAAATAAAGTGAACATATAATATGGGTTATACTATAGTTTAATACCGAACATGGTCCACGAATTACCCCAGCTCCCATATATAATTTTTTTTATTTGTTTTAAATGTCTGCCCAGTCTTTTTTAATCAGGCAGGGTAATTGTGATAAGCTGTCCACAATTTACATAAATTCGATATGTACTTTAAGTTCCAACATGGAAGAGATATTCATTAAAAATCAGCATTATGAATTGACTTTTACAGAAGGCCAACTGTTACATTTTTGCACGCCTGCTCAACATATCCATAACCAGAAAACTTGTACCTACCCATATAACCATTTATATTTGGATGCCAACTTGTCTATCAGCTGACAAAAGCCATGTAAACTTTATCAGCTGTTTGGCAAGGAAATTCAATCGCTTTAAACAGCTGAACAGCCAACCGTGTTAATATAATATGATAGGGAAGTGACTGTAGCATTTGATCAACGTTTGGCTAGGCGGCATGTAATGCGGAAATGTTTTGTAGCAAACTGGGCTCCAAATGATATTTGGTTTAAATTTTTGTCGAATGCAAATTCAACTAATCGAATATTTACTTATCACCAATTTCATACTGGTTTATGTGTAAATATGTAAATACACCATACATTTAAAATTTTGCCAGACACTTTCTCAAATCGACACGATATAAAAACGATACCAGTTATTTGTATTTAAGCAACAGTAACCAATAGACGACGTAACTGATATGCATGCCACACTTGAAGTTAAAAAGCACTTTTCAAACGGTGGAAGTGCCACCGCTTCTAGTATGTCACACTACTAAGCTTACTTTTCAACCAGTTGTTCCATTGTTTCAGGTGGCAGTGGCCGGTAGCATTTGTTTGTTGCGCACAATATACGCTCGATAATGTGAACTAAATAAAATCGAGCAATGCAATAACTATTGATAAACTAAACCTTAAAAATGTGCGCCCCAATCAATATCCAATTTGACTTAGAAACTTTATAATCCGTAGGGTAACTGAAGTTTTTAAATTTTAATTGGTTTTTCGTAGACATACTTCGATGGCAGAGTTTTCCGTTATTGAAACATCATGTGTTAAGGTAAATGTTTCGAGAATGAAGGCGACTCAGGAGCATACTACTATTGGTCATTAAGTAATCATATGTCATCAAATTTTGCTATACTTAAATAAAAACATTAGCTGCGTGTGAGAAAGAAAGTGTGTCTTCATTTATCAATCGAATACTATCTTAATCAACCTGTGCCAAAGTGCCTTAATTACATATGATTTAAGAATAAGAGAGTAGTTTAGTCCACAACCATCAGCTAAACTTGTTAATTTTCCACAAAAGATAAATTCCCTTTTATGGTTTTCAACTCAACTGCATTTTGGGTGCAGTTTTGAAATTTGGTATTATCGATATCAAATCAATCCGTCAAGGAAAGTTTCGGTTGAAGTGTTGTCAAACTTCAAAATTTGTGTGACGACTTTTACGATTTTTAACACTGTGTTAGTAAGGTTGACTAGAATATCAAAACATTACAACTTCTATCAAACAAGCGAATTGAGTTGTGTTGTTTTTCGTTTAAAAAAATTCAGCTGTTTAATTATTTGCTAAATCTTCACTTTATCAGTTGGCAACAGCAATGAAATAGTCGAAGTCGACTGAAAATAGTCGAAGTTGGTAATACCAAAAAAGAGGTTTGTTGTTCTGAAGTTGAGTTGATTGAACTTCAATTCAACTGAGTGGAGTTAAAAACCGTAATATTGGTATACAATGTCTGCTTTTTTGTCGCAAATAGTATTTTGAAGCTCGAAGCGAAATTAAAACATCAACAGTAGTAAGTGCGCATGGTCACTAGGATACTTAGGAGAATTTAAAAATTTATAATTGAATATGCATGTTGTGCAATAATCCAACGACAGAAAATATATTTAATGCTTTAGAAGCTTCAAGTTCTGTTTGTTTTTTAAAGTAATGAAAGCAAAACAGCGCTTACGTATATTTTTGGGTGTTCATTTTACGTGGTGTTCGCAGTACTTAGCGTGCGCCATGTATGCATTCGGATACGTAGGTAACTTGTACGTGTTTTTCCGGCTCTCTCTCACTATTGTTCCTTTAGGTTTTTATAATTGTTTACGGTTTACTTAAGTGTCTCCACATACAACGGGGCTATTTACAGAATCGATAGTGTATCGCACAGTGTGCTAGTTTGTGGGTTAAGACAATAATAATATTTCTTTCACGACATAGTAAAAGTGTCGTGAATAAATTGAATGATAGAGGAACACATTTCACAAGGAAATTTTCAATAGTCAGACAAAAATAAAAGTCCACATCGAATATCGATTTTTTTTACCAGAGCTTTACTTCGAAGAATTTTGGAAATTGTTTCTGTTGAGAAATTGCTGCGCTTTAAGTTGTATTTAAAGTGATTGTGAGAAAATTCTATCGCAATTAGCGGAAAAATGTGAAAGTACTTAAATTTCAACAACTAATTTCAAAGTGTGTTTGGCAAGAGCTTCAGAGGGTTTGCAACATTTTGAAATAATTTTTTTGCTGTTCTTAATTCGTTGTGAGTTTTCCCTAGATCGAATCCGAAAAATTCAGCAACTTTCGTGTTTGCGGCTATGCTTTTTTTCGAATTTATATTACATACACAAATAAAGAAAATATATCCTTTGACATGATAGGTTCAAAATCCGGAAAAATATGAGTAAATCTTAAAATCCGGGTATAAATCTGCATGACCTGTTGCAGGCTCGAAAAATCCAGCAAATCTGGGAAAATCCGGCGATCTGGCAGCGCTGTATAGTAGTAATAAAGTATGTTCTAATAATTTGCTGTATTAAGTGTGCCACCTGTTAATTTTTAAATTTCAACAATTGGTGAATTTGAACTTTGGTGTTTCTTAAATAAATTGGATATTATAATATAATATATAATGTTAGAGATTATAATAATGTGTACGTTATAGGATATCTAGCCATATGCAGTGCTGGATTAATGCTTTTCTTTACACAAACTACTTTGCAAAGTATGGAAAATAGAAAGCGCAATTTTAAATTTTATTTTGAAAAGATTTTGATCATTTGCTACTTTGGATATATTAAATTGATTTTCTGCATTTTTCAAAATTAAAGGCCCTATTATGTTTTTCAACTCAATTGCATTTTGGCTAAAGTTTTGAAATTCGGTATTATCGATATAAACTTAATCCGTCAAAAACGTTTTGTTAAACTTCAGCTGTTTTTTGGTATTACGGATTTCAACTCTGTGCCAGTGGGGTTGACTAGTTGTAGTTGAATTGCTTTAATTCAATTCAACTGAGTGGAGTTGAAACACGAAATAAAGGTATATATTTTTTATTAGCTGATTATTCACACCTTAATTGTGCAGTTGCCTATCGACTACTATATAATATCTATACTAGATACGCAATAGCGGTGTTCGATCCAGAAAACATTAAAGACATAATTCAAAAAAGTTTTTTTTTTTTAGTGTATGAAAGTTGTTTATACAAAAAATATGTTAGAGGCACAAACATGTTTCTTTTAGAATTAAAATCGTGCCCCAACTCGGCTACCGCAGATGAAAAATGTCGAAAAAACAATTGTATTCAGAATTTAAAAAAAAATTCAAATTCCATATCCTGAATTATCTGGCATAAGCACTTCCTTTAATAATAATCAACCATTAACAATATATTCGTTTGTATCTATAGTATTTTACTTATTTTATTATTAGTATTTTTTTTTATTTAATAGGTTTATACCACACAATATCCAGGTCTGGTTTGTAACTCTATGCTTTGTCGTCAGCCTTGTATGGGCACGTCCACAACGGTATGCACACATCGCAGTTATCGAAAATGATGCATATGAACAAACCTTGCCTAATGCGCTGAGAAATCCCTTCTATAAGACGCCTCGAGTGCGCGAGGCACTAGCCAAATCAAGTTGGTTCGGACCAGGCGAGGAGCCGGTAATTAAATTAGATAAAATTGATTACCAATACCGAAATTAAATTATACTAAATACTTTTACTTACAGGTATATGATCGGCAAGCGGAGAAAATACCACGCGCTGAGATCTACAACGTTCTCGCTCATGCCGGATTCATTAATCGAAGAGGAAAATTAATTTAAATTGGCGACTGAGAAAACCAAAGAGTTCTGGGCACCACTAGCGACAAGCGTCAAATAGGATTATTCGTGGCCTCACGAATAATCAGCCTATTTACCTAACCTCACCTGACTGAGAAGTGTACTTATAGCATCCAAAATATCATACTTATAAAAACCAATTTTTTATTTAGGATTCGTTGGCAACAAACAAAATCAGTATATATATTATATTACAACGGATTTAATTTATATTTTAAAAATATTTCATTGCAGTCATAAACATTAAGTATTGCCCAGTTGCGAAGTAAATGAGGCAAATTGATACATTTGAAGTTTGAATGTTCACAGTTATATATAAAATGGTACATATTGAAACGGTTTTAAATAAATTTAGCTTAGTAGAAACTAAGCGTTTAGAAAAAATTAAAAATGCAAATTGTATTATATTATTATTAATATCAGTTTTAATCTGATTCTAATATTTCACTTACTAGCTCTTTTAACTAGTTTTTGTTTCAAAATTCTAACTCTACGCTATACCCGGCAATACGCTTTAACTGTGCTTCGTTGTCGTGTCTCTGCTGTGCTAAAGAGCTTTTCGCCGCATTTGCATTGATTGCTTCGCTTTTTACAATAAAACTCTTCCGTTTTTCCAAAGCAATCGCCTCATCAACCATTTCGACATCTTCGTCATTGGTTGTGGTGCGCTTCGTCGAATTCACTTTCCCTTTTGCCTCGGTATTCAACTCTTCTTCGGCACTTTCATCATCAGCCGAGTGACTGTCATGTCCATTCATAAAACCAGTCGCACCACCATTCAGCATTTTTCTTCTATTATACAATGGTTTGTCTGTTTTCTCCGCCTGCACTCCTTCATTTGCAGCCTCATCTTTCTGTTGCGTATCAGCTGTTTTTAAGAGAGATTTTACAAAATCGGCGGCGAGCAGACTTAGTGGCGGCATTGTGTGTGTGGACATGTCAATAAGCTTGAAAAAAAGACAGTTCCATAAGGATTTAGTATTTTTAATAGTTTAGGAGATATTAATGCAAATATGAAATATCACATATACCAGAAATCACTGTAATAATAATAATAAATAAAATCATAAATTTATACGCAAAGATTCATTTTGAAGCCAAACAGAATGGCATAGTATGAGAACTTGTTTACAAATTTATGACGAACTCATTAGATATACATATGTACCGTATGTATGAAATTACAGTTGCTTGCATCAAATTAAAAAGTAACCAGAAAATTAAGCATTTTGATTGAATATTTGGGCTTTTTCCGGTATTAAGTCAAAATAAGGTGGGAAAAAAAATAATTTAAATCAAAAAAATTACAGAATGTTTGGGACATAAAAATGTTAGGTTACAAGGTTGATCCTATATAATGGATCATAACACTCTTACAAATCGACAAAGTATTTTGAGCCTATCACAAATTTGTTGAGACGGCCAATATCAATTTCGGCTATGTTTCCTGGTTCGCCGAAGTTAAGACAGCCAAGATGTTTCAACCTCAGTCTTGCAAAGGCTGGACAATGGAGGAGAAAGTGCCTGGATGTTTCCACCTCACCCTCCTCCATACAGCTTTGACAGCTTGCGTCCGTCAAGATTTCTAATCTTACCGCATGAATGCCTATTGGAACCCCTTCTATTACGGCAAGATCAACTTTACTAAGGGTAAGCAGTTCAGTATATCTCTTACATTCTACTCTAGGCCAGAAGCATCTCGCAGTCGTACAGGAGCTGATCGTCGACCAATGCCTGTTAAGCGCACGCGAGGTCCATAGGTCCAGTGCTAAAACCCAAGATGCCAATTGAAATCCAACTCGGTCCCATTTCAATGTGACCGGGGCAAGGGTGCCCCCGTTCACTAGCTTGTCGGCTTTGAAGTGGCACCCAAACAAGTCTGATAATGAAGTAGCTTGACGCTAATTCTACTTCAGCGCTGGTATTGCCGCTCTCCTGTCGGAGTGAATGCTTACATCCCAGAAAGAGGCTGCACTTCGTACATAGCAATATGTGTACCGCCATTTAATAGCATCCACTTCTGCCTGAAAAACCCTACAGGTCCGGTAGCCTATAGCTAAGGTTGACGGAGAGCTCCTTACAGAAAGCTTCGCCTCCAAGCTTGCCTACTAGCTTTATCCTATCCGTGAAAAAGCTCACTTCTCCCCATCCACATATCCCTCGTCGATATATGAGGAGAGAAGAAGCCGCCACGAGTGGACAAGAAACAACTTTCAGCGTGTCCTTGTTTGGACCCCTTCATATGCTCAGCTTTCCTGAACTTTAGAGTGCACTTGAGCCTAAGTTCTGGTGTAGTCCGCAGTGCACCTGAAATGCCTATGAGAGCCGCTCTTTATCATAAAAATATTAGTTTACCCCAAATTAAGAGAAAGAAACAATTTTTTTGTAATAAATAAAACCAAATCTTGGTTATTTTAATTTTCCACATAAGTTTTGTGGTTATGATGAAAAAGGTGTTAACACAGAAGTTTTAGATCATTTCATGATATACAACACTGTTAACTTTTTTCTATAGAAGTTCAAAATTTTTGTAAATAATTGCGTTAGTTATGTGTAAATATAATTCTATAAAATAATAATAATTATATGGAAACTAAAATATTAATAGCGACGCCTTAGAAATGAGCAGTAAGACTCATATTTGGTGAGCTTTTTTTTTACATTAAATAGAAACATAAGAGTTGATAAGAGTTGAAAAAAAAAATTTTTTTTGAATTGAAATTTTATTAATATTTATAAATGCATTAAATATTCATAAATATTTTTAAATGCTTTTGTACTTAGTACAGCGAAGACTACGACTAATATAGTATACGTGAATCGATCGAAGGATGTTTTTATTGCTAACAGATTATTTAATATTAAAACGCAATTCTAGAAGTCAATAAGGCAATTTTTGTTAAGCTGCCAATAGACTTTTTTAGCTTAGCGACAGTGAATAGCGCAAAATGCATACGAAAAATAATAAATAAAATACAAAACCAATTAACGATTAAAAGTAAACAATTTCGCTATCAATTGCAATTTAATTTGGGGGCGCACCTGAGAGCAACTAATATCAACCGTGATGACACCAATAAATAAGCAATAGAAAATTAATGTTCAAAGGTACACATGCATTATTTAGGAGGGGGCGATCGAGAAGTGTAAAAAACTATTGGAAATCATTTAATTTACAATTATGTTGTGCGAACATCTAAATTGTCTGTTTTAGTGGACGGTTGGAAACTAATTGTGTTTCAAAACTCTTTCAATCATTTTGTTGGAGAGCCGTAGCTCCATAGGAGCCTTATGTGGTAATCGATATCCTTCAACAATAATAGGAAATTTTGCTTCATGTTGCTACGTCTCGGGACCTAATCATTGCAAAATTAGGTTTGGAAATGAAGGAAACCATAATTAGAGTGACTTAGAAAGAAGAATCAATTTAGAGATATGTAAAAACTAGGATTTTGCATCAAAGAAATCAGTGAAACCATTCGCCGAGGAGGTAACAGCTTCTGCCAGTTCGGAAAAACTATTCTTTGTAAGACGAAGTACAAGTTTTTAAAAGAAAGCAAATGTTAAAGAACTCTACTGAGATTAAATACAATACTCGTACACCGATACGAAACTGGTACACAACCACTACGGCCCACCTACTTTAAGTTCATTAGAGGCGTGTCATTATATAATAACTATAATAATTGCTAATTTTTCGCTAATCACTGTACTTCGCAACGATTTTATTTCAATTTGTAGGAAAAATACGTTTTACTACGTCTAGTAAATATTTGCGTTTGATCGCACTTTATCTGAACCGACCTGCTACCATTATGTACACATGCAGTAGCTCAGAAGCACTTTGTGGCATATAAATAATTTGGCGTATACACATTTATTTTTTTTTTATAACTAACCCTGCAAAAAATTGTGCGAGTAATCTTCAAAGAAAGTACTTCCAGATTACTCTCAAAGGGGTACAATTTGTAACGAAAAACGTCTCCAACATATACCCTACGAATGAAATCAGGTACTAATTAATCCCAAACGAATATTTTTTGGGTATAATTAGTGATGAATTCGTTGATTCTGTGTCTACACGAAAGCGATTAGTCTTCAATTGTAGATATTCGGTTACAAAAGGGTACAATTAGTTTCTTCGTAGGACATGCTCAAGTAAAAGAAAACATTTCGTTCCATATAAAAATTACAAAAGTGGAATTAGTCAGATGTTACTTTACGATGAATCGCGGATTTATTCCGAACACATTTTGTCGCATTTTTTGCAGAGTAAGTATTAAGGGCATTGTAAAGACTTCTACGTCGTATAAACTGTATAAGATATACAAAACTTCAATTATGGGGTTGGGCGTAATCAGCGACTTGAAAAAATGAATGAAATACATGAATTTGTAAATTTGACGTTTCTGGCGTTATTATTTAGAATTTTAGAATATTATTTTTATTAACCAATCAACCGATTGGCAAATTTTTACATTGTAGTATGAAATATGAAGATTTTCACCTAGCTTGATAGGCTTGCCGGCTTTTTAGTACATTACGGATGTGTACCATAAATCTATTAGAATACCGAGTCACTTCCATTTTTCCAAAATTTTCAATGCCATTACATAAAATTAAAAAAAAAACGGACAGAATAGCGTTATATCAGAAGACTTTTATAAGCAAAAAAAAATATATTTTTCGGCAAGAACTATAGAAACATTATTTTAGTTGAGAGCTGGTTTGTTTAATTGTAGCATATTAAAAACACGAATTTTCAAAATCTTCAGACAATCACCGCATGTGTCCATTATAACGGGTGTTTGCTTAGACGTGTGCTTTTTAATAAGGCAATACCTTTGTCGGAGTTGGTCTTTTTGATAGCTGTTAATTGATTTACATTCAGTTTGGTTTGCCATTTCATAATGAGCAGACTTACTCCGGAACAAGGTTGGCAAATCCTGCAAATATACGAGTATTATCAAAATAATAGTTCGGGTAACACAAGGCATCGCTATAATCGCCCAGCAGAGCCGGTAGTTCGAGCAACGAAGGATCGGTTTTGCACGACGTTTACTTAGTGGATAATGCGCATCCTTAGAGACGTCATACATAGTGCGCACCGAAGAAGCTGTTGCTGCTGTGCTGCAGAGTATCGAAGAAACCCCGAATGAGTCTTTCTGCCTTCGCGCGCAACAATTGGACAATTGGTTTGCGCGGTCGGTAAATGGGCCCAAAATAATGTCTAATAAAACCACCCTTTATTTAAATTTCGTATTTAACGGAAGATAATTCTAAAAATACATTAAGCAGCAAATTAAATTGCTTTGCAGCTGTCTAGCAGAATTGCGGATCCATTATAAGTAGACATGTACTGAAGTATATTTAATAATTAGCAAGGAGCAGATGAGTAACGGTTAAAGTTCAAGACATGATAGTGTCCGATAAGCCTACCGAAAACCACACGTTTTATTGCCTAACTATGAATAAATTTGTTTTCAAAGTATTTTATATTTTGTTTTTGGTAAATATAAATTTGTTTTTTTTAATTGTAATCAAAATTAAGCAATAAGAATATATTCTTATATACAATATGTAAGTGTACTTCTATGCATAGAGAGTTGAAAGAACCAAAGCTATTAAGAGGTCATCAGTGCAAGCAAGCAAAGCATTTTTATTAACAACAATGTATAAACAAAAGAAAACGTTTACTACGGCTGCACCAAAGCTAGAATACCCTTCATAAATAAAAAAATTTCCACACAAGAACTTGATTCTATGACAGCTATGTATTTGCTACAGAAGTCCGATCTGAATAATTTCTTCGGAGATTATGCCGTTGCCTTGTGCAATTATCCATGCCAAATTTCTTGAAGATAACGTGTTAAATAAAGAAGTTCACCTTACAAGGTCAAGATTTTCTCCGATAAGTTTGTATGACAGCTATATGCAATAGTGGTCCGATATCGCTGGTTCCACAAATGAGCAGCTTTTTGAGGAGCAAAGAACGTTGGCAAAATTTCAGATTGATGTCTGAAAAGCTGAGGGACTATTTATTTCATGTGTATACAGATGGACGGACATAGGTGAATCGACTGAGATAGGCATGCTGATCATTTACTTATATACAAGTATATACAAGGTGCGTTCCAAAGTAAACAGGACTTAAAAAAAAGACAGAACAAATGGTTTTATCGGCAAAATCAATTAATTTTATTCAAAATAGTCTCCTTCTGTGTGACGAGTGTTTTAGCTCGTTGCCCGGTATGGCCGCCAGTATGCCGGTGCAAGCCTTTTGAATGGCCTCCACGTCTGCATAACGCTTTCTTTTCATCGGCAAATGTATTTTTCCGAAAAGGTAGAAGTCGCACGGTGCCATATCAGGTGAATACGGGGAGTGGTTGATTGTTAAAATGTGATTTTTGGTCAAATAATCGGCCACAAGCGTCGATCGATGAGACGGCGCATTATCGTGCAACAAACGCCAACTTCCATCTTCGCGATATTCGGGCCGAACACGTCGAATACGGCGCACCAAACGCTTCAAAACTCCAAGGTAGAATACCGCATTAACAAATTATTTGTGGACAATACCCCTGGAATTATAAAAATTCTCCAGGGGCGATTTTTTGTGTTTCGGCTCATTTCTCGGCTTATTTGTGCACTCTGCTACGGGTTAGGCAATCATCGCCATAAACTTGTTTCATCAATTGAAACGTTTCGGTAAAAGTTTTACCAATTTTAAAACAAAATTTAATGTTGGCTCTTTGATCGAAGCTCATTTTCGCACCGATGACAAAAACATACTGACACTTAAAACGCAATAACTTCACTTCCAATAGATAAAATGTCATGAAATTTTTACTGGAAGTTAATAAAGGATATCAGATACACTAGAGTTTACTTTGTTCTTTTTTACTGTTTACTTTGGAGCGCACCTTGTATATATATATGCTATATATATATAATATGGCCTTCCACGTTTCTTTCTGGATGTTACGAACTTCGTGGCGAATTTAATATACCATGTTTAAGTATGTATAATAATGTAAGCGATAGCGAAATCGCTTTGAAGCGATAAAGACTAAGGAAAAAATCGTACAGCTGGTATGGATTGCAAACAAACTTTAAGGAAACTTTCAGTTGGTTGCTGGTTAAAACTGGACTTAACATGTTGGGATACACGGAAGCTGCTAACAGGCGAGCACAAAAAATTGCACAGAAACTTGAGCGCGGAACAAAGAAGCTCACACATTTCTTTGAGATATGAGCAAGATTACGCTTATGGAAATTTACTAAAAATGCAATGCAAAAACATTGATATATACATATGTACATATTGAAGTATAACGGTAAGTATGCTATGTTGGCACTTATTTGCTATATACTGGGCAACCCCACGAATAAACGACTTAATTTTCCAAATGGACTTAGTATAAACCGGCTATCAAATTATCTATTTCCCCAATCAGCTGCAGCTGGCTAAAGTTGAAAGCACTCTTCAGAGCAGAGGAGAAGCCTCTTCACGACACATCAAAAATATGAGTAATGCTCATACTTTTATTGATGATGAAAGCACAAAAACAAAACGGACAATCATAAAATGCGTTTGACCTGCTATATAAATAATTAAGAACAAGCTCAAGCAAGTCAGGGACTGAAGCATTTAAATAGTTAGCTGGAATTACATTTACAATGACCAGCAAAAGCGCATAAAAAATGGAAAAATAAAGCCAATTATAAGAAAGAGATATATACCAAGTGCATATGTTTGTTGGTATCCATGTACATTAGTCGAATGCATAAAGCCGGCACAACATAGCAGATCCGAAATATTTATACACCACTACAGCCGTTATATCACTGGAAAGAGAATTGTTTTTGCTTTTGTTGGCGAATACACGCGGCAATTAGTTAAACGAAAAAATGATGACAAACTACTCGTGGCGCCAAAAATATGAATAAACTGACCAGAAACCCGGTAGTAACCGCAAATGCGACTCGAAATTTGGTTGTACGGTGGACAAAGCGCGTGAAAAAGAATAACGCATTTTTTTATAAGCTTTATACATGCAAGCAATTAGTTCAATTTTTAGATGCCAGACAACTATATCGCTGTTGCCGAATATGTATAAGGGCTCAAATTCGCGCAGAGCAAGAATTCACAAGGAAAAAAATATAGAAATCATTCTAAAGACGGTCACCAATCGACAAACAACTAGCATTTTTTAAGCATACTTAAAATTAAGAGAAGAAAAGTCTTTCTATCTAACTACTAATACTCCTACACAATAATTAAATACAGTAAAAATTTTCAAAAAATTACTCTTTTCTCTTTTTCCTTTAAAGTATATTACCTTAGGAATAGTCTGTGAAAATTTGAAGTAAATCAGACAAATACTTTTCGAGTTATGCTGAAATTAGTGACTGACATGCCGCCCTTCCGTACTTACCGTCCGTATCAAACTAAATTTGTCAAAAGTTATGTCCCTAGTGACAACGTAGAAATCAGTTGTTCTCTTTTGTTCCATCCATTCATGGTTTTACACACATCTAGTTTTTCAGTTATACATTTTCGTAATGTAAAAGATCAATCAGCTGATACGGTATACGGTTTTGCGGCGTTCTTATTGAATTCTATCTAATTGAAGCATTATTAGATAATTAGCAAAGAATTCTCGGGCGCTCTGAAACGTTCGTGTAAAACTTTAAAAGCATTTTACTCAAAACTATATTTTTTAAACACGTGACCGCCGCTATAGCTCGGAAACCGCTCGATAGATTTGTACAGTTCTTTTTAAAACATGAAAAACTAGTGCCTGATTGTGTTGTATTTTACCTGTTTTTTTAATCCCGGTTTTTTATAAATAATTAAATAATTGTTGGGTTTTTCTGTAAACCTGGAAAAAAATTTCCTGAGGCCGCCATTTTAATAATTAATATGAAATATTTTTTTGTTTGATTGATTTTAGATGTATTTCCATGGATTAGAGTTAGTCACAAGGAGCTTCAGTTGGAACTGGATCAACATAAACAGCCGTTAGTTAAAAAATTATAAACCTTAATTAATGTAATGACAGGGTGTGTCCTCCTGTGATATGAACGATACACTAAAGGAATAACGCTATGGAAAAACATTTATGGTATATCAAAACAGGTAGACAAGATGGAAACGAAAGTATATTTAAAACGCCTTGAAGCCGAAGATATCAATTTTAAATTGGCTTAAGGGAGGGAGTTAATTTATGCAAAAACAGGTATGTTTTTGTGAATTTTTTGTGACGACACAGTTAAAATCTCTTTGATAAAACCAACTGTACTTTAAAGTATGACATTCAATAAATGTTATGCAAAATTTGTATGAAGCAATATTAAAAAATACGGCAATGGCAGCAATTATTCGAACACTCGGAACAAGGAAAAAGTGTTGCGGTGCGCCTTATAACTTCGTGCTGTATCATCCGAAATCGACATATCAAGACTTATTCGTTATATTAAATAATAGTTTTTCCCAGGTAACGCCGAGGACTTTTTAAAATTTTAATTTTTTTGGAAAAATTCGACTAATTTGTTATTATAAAATTTAAAAAATTATCAACAAGTTTAAAAATAACTCTCCAGCGCAACCTCGTAAATTATGTACAGAAATAGCATTTAAAATTTCAAAACTATCGGTGTAGTAGTTTGACGTCATGAGGGGCTTAAGGCGTGTTTTGAAATCTGATGTAAACCGCAATATTCTTGAGATATTATGCATTCGTTTAAGACAAAAAACAATTTCGAAAATAAATTTGAAAACCTTACTCCTCTCTTAAAGTTTGATTTTGAAAAGTCAAAAATCTTTGATACTTGGATAAAATTTGTATACCCTGAACAGGGTATATTGAGTTTGCCACTATGGTTGGAAAAGTCGGAGTCATTTTCTCACCAAGAAGCTACTCATTTGTCGGAGCCGGCGAAATCGGACCACTATAGCATATAGCTGCCACAGAAACTGAACGATCGAAATCAAGTTCATGTAAAGAATCTTTTGTATTTGTAAAGGGTATTATAGTTCGGTGCAACCGAAGTTAACGTTTTTCTTGTTTATCCATTTAGTGTTTTCCAGTTGTGGTGTCAGGACAACATTGCGGCAGTTGCTGCTATTGCTCCCACTGCCAAAGCGATACGCAAATAAACAAGTTATATTTGGAAAAACTGAAGAACTCGAATGCAAACGAAGTAAACAAGTGGCGAAAAGAAAAGCAAATATTAAAATAAATAAAAAGTGAAAAATTAATGTAAAAAAAGAACTTCGCAGTTAAGAAGCGAAAAAAGCGGGTGAAAAATAAATGCAAATGTAATGGCTATTTATTGTGCAGTAGTGATATGCATCTCAAAGCTAGTGGAGCGCTCAGATCAGCGAATGTGCAACATAGTAATATTCTCTAGTTGTCGCCGCATACTTCCACAACACGCGATACAAGGCGTACTCACTGCCGCGTCAAAGAATCGCTTTCGATTGTGGAGTAAAAGTAGTAGGTACGGTGACAGTTATCACCGCCTTCGTTCTTGTCGTCGTGCGAAAAATGCTAACATCGGTTCTCGCATATAAATTGGAATGCAGGCAACACCATGTGCGATAATTTCAAATTGTCACTCGCACTCGCCAGTACATACAAAAGACCTAACGCGTTCAACGCGGCGTATGAGGCAAGCAAAAAAAATATTAAGAATAATAAAAATAAACTACAGAAAATTAAACTAAGAGAAAATAAAAACTCAACAAAGTAACGTTATTGTAAGGCGCAGAAATCCAATGCAATAAACTAAAACAAAATATAAAATTATTAGTATAGACGAAAAAATATTTAAAAGTAACTGCAACAAGCTTTAAACTGCAAAAACAGAGAAAAAGTGTAAAGAAATAAGTGAGACAATAAGTCACATTTTTAAATAGCACAGCACAGCAACACTCAGAACAAGTGTTATTAGTGCCAAAATATATGAGTATATGATTTTTATTTAAAAAATATAGCAAAAATCGATTCGGAAAGATAAAAATCAAAAAAATATACAATACATAAATCGTAACTGCAAATAGAACAACGAAATGCTACCCAAAATATTTCACTTAATTGCTATTGCTGTACTGAGTTTATTCGCTCTAATGCCAACTACCCAAAGTGGACCGTTGCCAAAAGTGGATGAGGTAAGGAGTTGTATTTGACAAAAAAAAAAAAACAAAAAAAAAACAGACAAGAAAACACTTTAACTTCGATTGCACCGAAGCTATAACAGCCTATACAGGTTCAAGTTTTCTTACAAGAACTTGATTTTCATCAGTCAGTTTGTATGACAGCTATATGCTATAGTAGTCCAATTGTTCGAAGATTGTAGCGTTCTCAAATAAAAAAAAAAAAACAGCGTGTGCAAATCTAACGATTGATATCCCAAAAAGTGAGAGATTAGTTCACGTATATACAGTTAGACATAGCGAAATCGACTCCGCTCGTCACACTGAGCATTTATACATATGTATATATACTTATATAAATATAATATACTGTATACGATGAACAAGAGTTTTTGTAATATTTTTCATAAGCGATTTGAATTTAAAAAATGTTTTTAAACTCTTTATAAATAGCATCTAGGCAAACAAACTCGTATAAATAAAACTGTTATCATTTGAATGACCTTCACCACTAACGCACGATTAACTGCTGCTCTGCTCTCGAGAACGTCTTTGTAGGGTTATTTGAGATAATACAGTAAATAGGGAAATAGGAAACACACACATTACTAATAAATTGACTTTACATAAGTGTGAAAAAAGCGCAAGTAAAATTTTTGAGCTTCTCAAGAAACTTAATATTTCGAGAATGTACCACTAAATATAATATATTTCCCAATCCTCAGTTGACAATAGAAAGAAAAATGAACGTCCTTGCGTCGTTCGAAGAGATTCAATTTTAAAAACTATTCGCCAAAGCATTCGCAGAAATCTCCTTAGAAATCAGAAAAGTTATGTCAAGGCAAATTGATATAACGACCAGTTCAATGTGAAGACTTATTCGAGATGATCTCCACATGGAAGCCTACCAACTGGTCACCTTTTGACAAGGCGTTTGAAGCAAATTAAGCTCAAAAGATGCAAGCGGGTTCTTCAGTAGCACGCGGTTAGCGGCCATGAAAGTATCCTTTTAACAAATTAAAGGAAAACGTCAAAATCTACGCAGAAACTTTCAATGATACAAAAAAATAGTATTCCAAGGGTTCAACTGTGTGTGCTGGTTTGGTGAGAAGTCTCCTGTAAAGGCGTTAGAGCTCTTTACTTCTGTGAAAATGGGGTTAAAAATGGAGCAAAAGTGTACCAGCATGATTATTTAGAAGGCATTTTAAAGCAGTTAAGCAATACTTCCAGCAAGATTTTGCTCCAGCACACAAGGCTAAAACTAGCTAACAATGGCTTAAAAGTCATATTTCTGGTTTTATAGCTGCAGATGATTGGCGTCTGGGAGTCCAGATTTGAATCCATTGCACTACAATTTGTAGTCAGAGTTCGAGAACATGGCTTGTTGAATAGTTAAAGTACCGTCGTCAATATCAATAGAAACTATACGTGCTGCTATTGATCAATGGCCGAATCGTATGAGGTCTTCTGTGAAAGCAAAAGGTGACCGATTGGAACAAAATTTTGCACATCACTCATTTAATATATGCATTATTAAAAATAATAACCCAACGATTACCCTGCTCCCGCCCAACCGACGCGAGGGGCGTAATCCGCATACGTGCGGAATTAGCCGAGTCAGAAAAGGCAAGACAGTTTTTTAAGTGTTGAGATCTAAAACTGCTCAGCTACAGAAACAAAAATTTCAACAGCTTAGATTTATTGTTACAATATAATAAATTGTTACATTTTCATTTATTAAGAGAAAACAATAGTCTTTTTAATTTTGAAAAGTGAGTCAGATAAAAATAACTTTTAAAATAATGTATTTTAATTTTTAACATTAACAGCCTGAAGTTGTAACCGAACTTGTGGCAGGACTAAGTATGTACTTACAGGAATATCGGTGTATTTTTGGTTAGCATAGTACGAGCGTTTTAAACTGTTGCATATGAAATACATATTTAAATATGTATTACAACAAAAAATTGGCCTACATCACATGACGTGAGGACGTATTTTAAATGGTTACATATTTACACACTCGCCTATATGTATACATTCGTATGTACATACTATATACGCTACAAGAAACTGCTGATCGGTTCAACAATACACTCACATTTGTTATGTCAGTCGTGTCTATCAATTTACTTGTCAACTGACCGTCACTGGGATTGTTAAAAAGAGACACCTACGACTTGTAAGGCTTACTATAGCTTTCCATATGTAAGAATGAAATAGGTGAATTCTTTAGTACTGTCACCACAGTAATGTACAGTAAAATGACTATCAATGTTTACGGTTTTCCCAAAAGCAAATTTTGTATATGTTAAAAAGAGACAGCACACATTTCCACAAAAGTTTCGAGAAGTTGTAAAATAGCAAGAATGAGATTCTTTGCGAAAAATCAATTATTTCATGCAATAACAGACATGTTTTTGTGAATTTTTTGTGACGATACAGTTAAAATATCTTTATTAAAAGCAATCGTACATTAAAGTTTGAGATTCAATAAAGGTTATGTAAAATTTTTAGGAAGAAATATTAAAATATAACGACAATGGTAGCAATTACTCGGAAAAAAGAGGGTTGCGGTGCGCCCCATAACTAACTGTATCATCCGAAATCGTTAAATCAAGGTACATACGTTAGATAATAGTTTTTCCCAGGTAACGTTGAGAGAGTTTTTCGAAATATCATTATTTAATTTTCTTGGAACAATTTGAAAAGATAGATCGCAATTTTTGCGAGATAATCGCAAATTTGGAAAAATTGATAGGTGCATTAGTTTTAAAATTATTAGGCGCACCGACTTTGAAAACGTGAGTTATGAGGAAAATACTTTCAAGTTTGGGAAGCTGCGGTAAAACGTTCATAAGACAAATATAAACATACTCATAGCTTCGTCTATTTTGCACCAATCGACAATAACATTCTTCAGATATTATGCATTCAATTAAAAACAATGATAGAATCATTTGAGAATTTTTTTCAGCTGTGACAGTCAAATTACCGGTAAAATGATTGTCACTGTTCTTGTTGGCATAGCTTATAGTTTTGAGTATTTGAGTACATATCACATACCTACACACCTAGATACATACATGCCTATCAGTACCTATATACTAGTACTTATGTGTGTAAACAACGTGCAACATTTGTTTAGAATATGTGTAGCAAAATAAAACGCTAGAAACTGTTTGTACACAATTAACTTTTCAATTGAATTAAATTCTACTTTATGTCTGTTTGTATTTTTTACTATAGCAACAACTTTCTAAAATACCACAGTGGCATTGTTTGCGCTACTTTAAACATGATTTACTGATGATGCGCCGCTGCCGGCATTTACATGTGCCAACGGCTCCACGCTCCGGTAATGTCAAATGAGTTCCAATGTACGGGAGACCCTGGCCTCCACCAACACAAAGGAATGACGGCCTCGTTGCGGACTGGTTAGCTGAATAACTTAAATAAGGCATAACTCAAATTATATTTGGAGGGTACGATTTGTATGCCATTGCGATGGAGTCACGTGTGTATCATAATGGCAAAATAACAACAACACTAGCAATCACAGTTGTAAAAACATATATATAATACTTATGGTATATTGATCAAGGATTTATATTGAATGGGCACAAATTTATATACTCATATGACACAAAAACTGGCACCCACTGACTGATTTTCAACCAAATATACATACATACATATATGGTATAGTGTAAGCGTGATTGATTAAGTGACAAATACACGGAAATGCCGGCAAACATTTGATGTTAATTTAATTTTGCTTAAATCTCATTTTTATATTCAAATACATATGTACATATCTTTAAACAGCACATTCACAGATGCATATATGTGCTTACATGTATATATGGTACATGGTATATACTCGCACATTAGCATGCAGATAAGGAACCGATTTTCTAGGCTGCAACTGAACTCAAACTCAAGCAAAACACTTGGAGATTTCTTCCACTTGCAGTGGCATTGAATAAAAAAAATAAACTTCCTTATATGCATCGCTATATAAAATACACTAAATATATAGCAAATATTACAATAATAAAAATAAAATTCAATAACTTCAAGATAATGCATATATATGAACCAAGTAGCTTAAGCCAAATGTACTTCATATAATATTCTCCAACAACATACACATACATATATAGATTTGTTGTTTGTACTTTTTTAGACTTAAGATTTTGTATATTTTATATTTCAATAAAGTGGTGAAATATTATTTGTGTTTATTTTTTATCTGTGCTGAGTAGCAAGTAAAATATTATATAAATAAAAAAATTCGCTCATTTTTAGGTTATCGAGTCAAAAGTGACAGTTTAACAAGAAAAAACGTTAACTTCGGCTGCACCGAAGTTATAATACCCTTCACAGATGCATTTCTTATAGCATAAATGGGTATAAAAAGATCTTCATTTTGATTTTGATCGATCAGTTTGTATGACAGCTATATGTTATGGTAGTCCGATCTTAAAAATTTAATCGGATATTGTAGCACTATTTTGGAGAATAATTTATGACAATTTTCCTGAAGATATATCGTTAAATAAATAAGTTTTCCATACAATGAATGCAATTTAATCGATCAGTTTGTATGAGAGCTATATGCTATGGTGGTCCGATACAAACAATTTCTTCGGAGCTACCGTTGCCTTGGACAACAATAAATGGTAAATTTCGTGAAGATATCTCATAAAAAAAAATAATAATAAAATAATAAAGATCCCAAAATCCCATGTTCTGAGAGAGCTCATGATCTCGTGTTTTTTTTGGCAACACTGAAAGTACATGAGCTACTGAACAGATGACAAGCAAAACAACGAACTACCACTAATAATCCCGCACGAAATATATTGCGAAATCAGTGGGTTATTTGTGAGATCAGATTTTTTAGTGAATATAGTTTTGTTTTTAAGAAAGAGTGGAAATTTTGTCGCGAGTATTGTTTTGCTTAGCAGTACCAATTGTCAACGTATATACATACAATAGTTTGGTTAGAATTCCCCGCAAATGTTATGTAAACTTTGACTTTCGAATGAATTGTCAAAAAATATTTGTTTATTGAGTATATGAAAAATAAATCATGTTCATGTTTAGGTTATTTAAAACTTGCAAGTGTTTTGAAATATTAAAATATTTTGTTTAATTGAGCTTTAAGAGTTAATTTTGAAAATCATTTGTGGTTAAAATATGCATGTATATATATTTAGACCGCATAGAGGATATCAAGGTGGTTAAACTAATTTTAATTATGTATATTTTTCTGTTAAATGGAAATCAAAAAATACCCAAAAAAGAAAGAAATACCCAAGAAGAAAAAATAAAAATCTCAAAACTTATTTCTTCCTTAGTGGCACCACTGTCAAATGTTATAAAAAAAATGTGAACTTTGACAGCACTCTCTCGATTCAAAGAGTTTCGTATCATGTTATCCTTGAAACATATGGAAATACTAAAATGATTTAGGCACGGTTTAAAATAAAAATAAAGAGCATGTTTACGTTGAAACCTTTTTTGGGCAAAATTTGAACCTCGGGGGCGTTTGCAATCAAAAAATGTTATTGGGAATAATTAGTCACCCTACTGTATATACATATGTACATATACAGGTAAGTATGTATATATGTACTGAACGAATGCAGACCTTAAACATTAATAAGGAGTATTTTCGGTCTGTTAAAATTTGAAATTTTTACTATATAGGCTTTAATGTTAGGATCGAATCGATACCCCTTCGTAACACTGATAGCAGTCGCCGTCAAATTCTAGTGAGAAAGTATTAAAATTCTTGAATTAAAGAGATTAGGAAAAGACGGAGAGGTAGTTGTTTACTTTTGCACACATATCTTCACATAGTATATGCCTACAATTCTGATATTATGAGTTTGATCTTTGAATCTGAATTTATTTGCTTTCGATGACATAAAGTATCGGGAAATAACCGAGATATATTATATTAAAAAATATACACAAAACATATTAAGCGGTTCGGGGTAGTCAGAATTTTCAAAAAATCGATTTGCATTTTCTTAAAGTATAATATCTTATGGTATATCATGTTTCGACAAACACTTAATCACGAGATTTAGGCTGTTGAGTAGATTATCTACTACCATACAAAAATGAGAATTTTTAATCTCGGCACTCTGATTTAGAGCCATCTTTTTGTCAGCAGGGAAATTTATTACATTATCACAGCTGATTTAGACACCACAAACTGTCAAAGTGAAAAAAATTATACAAACAAATAAAATAAAAAGTAAAAGAATTAAAGCAATATCAAGTAAATAAGAGAAAATGGCAGAAAATAGTACCAAAAAAAGCAGAGTACTCGTAATGTGGATTTTGAGCTGCCGAAGCCGATCTAACAGAGTTGTGGCGAGAAAAATGCCGCAGCTTCAATCGGCTAATCAAAAACAGCTGTTTTATAAATTTCCAACGTCAATGAAGACAGTCTAGATTACTGAATAAATTAAATGTAATCTAATCACTTAAAATTTTTGGTGGGAACATGGTATTAGAAATATTCTCGAAAATTTGAAGTAAATCCGACATATACTTTTCAAGTTATTCCATAACTAGTGAAGGGTTCTCAGGTGCTTTGGAACGTTCGTGGAAAACTTCAAATTCGATTTTCTTAAATTATGTTTTTTAAACTGGTGACCAGCTCGAAAACTGCTAGGTAGATTTCACTGAAATGTATACAGCTTTTTGAAAACATGAAAATCTAGTGCCTGGTCGAAGGATTTTTTTTTGTTTTTTGATTTCCCGAAAATCTGAAAATTTGCTAAAGCCGCCATTTTGTTAACTTAAAAAACAAAATACCGTTAATCAGGCCTCATTATATTAATTATCTATTAATAAAACAAATTTTTTTTGTCTTTTTGTTTCTAGAAGAATCTCCGAGGATTAGTGACGGTCACCGCAAGGAGCTTTTAATGTAACTGGAACAGAAACAGCCATAATTATTAATATTATTAAATTCTTTTTTTTTTTAATTTCTGTCAAGTCAAGTCAAATTATTGGAAATTGTAATTTTTTCATGTCTCTGACTACAGTCAACTGAACTATTGTAAATATGTACATAAAAACTAATTACATCAATCATTCCTCTTGAATAACAGGCGGATTATTATAATATCGTAAGCTTTTAATTTTTACATTTTCGCTCTTTCACGAAAATCCATTCAGATAGTGTCACATCCCCACAACAACCCAGATCATTGTCATAAACCTACATCAAAAGTCAGAATTTTTCTTGATCGCAATTAAGTACACCTATGTACATTTAACACAAAATGTATATACAAAAAATACACTCACCGATTTCACAGCCATTTTGCTTGAATTACCGATAACCAGTGGTCCGATCGGTTGTCGTGAGTTGGTCTGCATATCAGAATGTTGTTGTGTAGCAAAAGTGCCAAAGGTACTGTATTGCAACGCATGATTGGCCGGATTACTAAAGGTAATTGGAGGTGGCGCATCATCGTCCACACTATCTGGCACACCCAAATAATTAATTTCCTATAATATATAAACATATGGAAGTATATATGATCTACAAGTATTATAAAAATTTCGGTTTCTGTGTTCACCTGTTCTTCCGTTAGAAAGTATAATGTAGACAGTGCCTGCCAGTCAACAACAACGGAACGGTTCTTGGGATGTCGCCGTGGGAGCCAAGCCGCGCCGTACAAACGGGGCAAATTGCGTCGTTGATATATAGATAGCGGCACATTTGGTTGGAAAATGTACACTATACATATTTAAATTTTCAATAAATTTGAATATAATATGTGCTGAAATTATACAGTAATGTTTGCGGTAACTTACATTCGTTATACTTTGTAAAGGCAGCGCATAAGTTGCTGATTGGATCGAAGGCCAAATGCTCGACAGACAATTTGCACGCCGCATGTAAACGTAGCGTAAGTAAATTAAAAATTAAAACACGCCTCTCAGTGCACACTATAACCTGAGAGCAGAAAAAATCTTTAGCTTGATAAAAAATTCGAATATGTATCTCTTCTATTTGCCTTACCAAATGAGCCCATTCGCCCGCCGCAAATTGAACCTTTGAGATTTGAGCAGTTATTGGTTCAAGGTCAGTTATTTCTTCAACCAGTTCTGTATTTTCGGATTGCTCCGTTTTCTCCCTCGTTGCCGCGGAATTGTCATACCGTGTATTATTGCCGTTCGTAAGAGACGCGCCTTTACTATTATCGCCAAAATTGAGCACCTCCATCAGTGGCAGCAGTTTTCGTTGCACCTCCACATCATATTTGTTTAGCCTTTTTTGATATTCATGTAAGCGACTCTTAGCTTTGTAACGTTCTCTTGTACTCATACGATTGACTTCGTTTTCCACATCGCGGTAACACTTACGTTCGCCTTCTGGTAATATTGTATCGTACAAATAGGCGAGTAAACGTTCGCGCCCTTCGGGACGTATATTCACCCGTATACCGAGCCGTTGAAAGAGCAACACTTTATGGAAGAAGTTCAGCTCATGCATATCCATTATTTTATTGTACAGCTGTTTTCGCGTCTCTTCGTCAATTTCTTTCGCCGACACTTCCTTGGGATTAAATTCTATTTTTTCACATTTCTCGGCAAACTTTTCCAGTTCCTTAACGAGTGTTTCGTCATGTTTTTCTACGAAGTCATTGAATAGTTGCAACCACCATTTTTGTTTTTCCGGCGTGAATTCATCCTTAAGCGGTGAATCGACGTCTTTGTGTCGCAAGCTTACTTGTATGTATGGCGCAACGCCATCATAACCGGGAGGTGGTGTTAATGCTGCTTTCAGTTTTAAATTTTCAGCTCTATATATACAAAGTGTGTTGCCATAACCAGCAGCCAGTACAGAACCATCTTGCGAAAATGAAATGGATTCAACCGGTAAGTTACGGTAGGAGGTTTGTGCTACACAATACCAAACTTTTCCTTTGTTATAAATATTATCCGATTCTTCCAGCGACCATATCTTAATTATATTCTCCTCACCGACGGTGGCACACAACAAATTATCCACTTGATTTGAACTAGAGAATTCGATAGCTTTAAATCCGCCTTCATGAGGTAGCTCGACATTTGTATTTAGCGTATAACTAAAATAAAAAGATATTAGTAAATTACTTCCAAAAAATTTTTCACTCACTTTTTCGCAGCCTCATCATGTTTCCAAAATTTTAAACGCAACTCCGGAAAATGTTCGTGATCGTTGAAAACCTCACCGGTGGCCATCCAATCAATATTGAACGCAACCTTTGTCACAATTATGTTGTAGAGAACCTTACCAGTCTCCATAGAAAGTGTATTTTGCATTACAATGTCCATCTGTAAGCAAATATAAATTAATTAAGCTTATATTTGTAACAATATAGATTGCAGTGCTTACGTTATATAACATGGTTTTTGTGTATACGGAGTAAAACTGCAAATGACCGTGTTTTCCATTTAGCACAAGCGTGTTCGTGCGTGGATTTAAACGTAGTCCAACTGGAAATTTGCAATTTCCAGTTTTATCATTTTCCATGTATGTGAAGTCCTGTAGAGTGTTTAACACTTCATTGTCCGTGCCAACAAAATGTACACCATTATCTGCTGTACAAACAGCAATTTGTGAATTATTATCATTAGCAGCGAGTTGACAAATAACAGACCCCATGCGTGGTAGAAAACTGTGTAAATCTGGTCGTTTAGTATTCCAATACACAAGCACGGACTCATAGCCACTGCTGTAAAAACCTGCGCCGCTGGGTGTGAACGTTATACTAGACACAGCGGTGTGGTGCCAATGATAGAGGGTCTACAAATAAATCAAACCAGTTAATATTCTATTTTAAAGAAGATACATTGAAAGTTTTCTATTGAAATAATCTCACTCATATAATTTTAGTTTATAATAAGATTCAATACTCACAGTCTTTATTGTCGTTAGATTCATAAATTCCCTCCACATAAATATTTTTCCAGTTTCGTCACCTGTGATTACCGCTTCTTCGAAAGGATGTGTCCGAACGACCGTAATTGGGACACGGTGGGCGTTAAATAACCTGCAAAAGTAAACAGAGGATACAATTTACATACATGTGTGTTATACCATATATGAATTATTACTGATATTATATATATATTAATTTTCAAAACCATTAAACAACAAACTTTAATTTTATTGTAACATTTTTATCATAAAATTAGAGGTCTAACAAAATAAATATGCGCCTTCTGTTTATGTTATTAAATAATAAAATTTAAAATATGTTATTTAAAACCTTTGAGAAATAAATTTTTAAAATAATACCAATTACCTCTTCCATGTCCACGATTTATAATTAAGGAAATATATATAATAACCTTGAGCTATAGCAATATATTTGAAATTTTTTGCGTCCACTGCAACGAGGGGTTCATAGGACCTTAAAATAATAAAAGAATCACCATTAAAAAATTACAACAATAAAAATAATTCCATAAGCTTACATCAAATTTAATTTACATGGTACGTTTAATCGTTCTCCACTACTTGTATCCACAACACCCCATTTGACTTGCTCCTCATTAGTAGTGCGAACTGTAACAAATGCGCAAGCCGTTTTGGAATTGACATATAAATTAATTAGGTTAAAACTTAAAACTTGTTGATCTGTGTTCAATTTTAAATCTAATTTCTGTTGAAGTCGACCGCTCCGCCAAAACCAACGAATCACTTCTCCTTTAGTTGTGCATGCAACCAGCGTCTCATTATCGCGCAATTCCAATTCCATGGACACTAGATTACTATTACCTCCTGATAGTTTGCGTGCTAGCTCACCGGTTGCCGTGGAATAAACTCGTACAACATCCTTGGAACGTATAAATATAAACCTATAATTTATAATTTGAAAACTTTAGCGCTGAAACATTTTTAAGTAACGCCTTATAACTCACTCTCCTCCAGCGGAAAAAAGTGGCGTATGCTCAACAAGATTTGCACCGGCCAAATATTGTAGTTTAAGTTTATCAAGTTCGTCAAAATCCATTGCATATATATTTTCTAAAACGGGATATATTTGTATTACACTCTATAGCTTTTGTAGCCGAGTTATCAGTTGGCACACGCCTTGCCTCTTCTGCTTTGTTTGTTATACTGCAATGTTTTGCTGCAATGATTTTCTGAACAGTTTATAGTTAAACACATATAAGAGTGGGAATATAGTTGTCCAAAAATTCTCCAAACATTTATATTTTAATTAATATAAATTTAAGTTTTAATAATGGCACTTTCCCATGTTGTGCCGCACGTGTTGAATCTGTCAAAAAGTATAATCCGTTGTAAGTGTTGTGCTATAGATCCACTTTCATTTTGCATAGCCTCTAAAACTGTTTTCAAAATACCTTAGTATATATGGTATGTAGCATTTTTACACTAAATCAACGATTTTTGTAGTTATTAATTGAACGCATTATCTTGTTAGTCAAGTTTAACTGCACTCGAAGCACCAGACTGCATGCATAAGTAATATTCTTTAAGGAATTGTTAACAATTGTTCAATTTTAGGAATACTTATCGATATTTAAATTTCGATAGCATTAATGTAGTCAAAACTGACAATCACTAATATTCTGTGTGAACAGCTGTTGGCTGCGTGGGACATTGATTTTTTTTCTTTCATATAAACGTACAAACGAAACAACAAAAAACATTATAATATTTTGTAAATTTGTGCTCATTTATCACAGAAAACTCAGTGGAAACACTGTTGAAAGGTGTGTAAAAATACAAGTGTAACGTTTTAAAAATTAAGCCCTATGTTTAATGATTGCGAGCGTACTAAACGATTGACAACAAAAACAAAACTTTTTTGCGGCATATTTGTGTACGTAGCAATTTATTTATAAAGTATTAAATGCAAAATGCCACCGAATTCTACATTGAACACCCCGGTATTGTTATGGTATGTGTGTGTGCTTCTGACCTGCTTTTGTCCAAGCCTGGTACTGGGGAACCTCAAGGTCATTTATGCTGTGAACGCTGGGGGTCAAGAACATACTGACAAACATGGCATACATTACAGTGCTGATCCGTTACACGGACGTATTGGAACAGCTTCCGATTATGGTAATCATCTGCTATTGATAGGACGTGTGCCGGAACAAGATGAAGTGCTTTATCGCACTGAACGCTATCATACAGCAACATTCGGCTATACATTGCCAATAGACGGAGATGGAGAGTATGCGTTGATAATGAAATTCTGTGAAGTCTATTTTAATGAGCCAAATAAAAAGGTAAGCTTTAATTGATTCTCTCATTAGTTGGCAAATGTTATTTATGTTTATTTTTGCTTTATAGTGGGCGTTTTCTTTTTTGATATTCGTAATTGTTTCTGTTGATCCATAATATATTAGACATATATCTAGAATTATGTATGTAAACTGGATAAAATTAACCTTTTTCTACTTATCAATATCAGTTTTTCTATATAGCATTGGTTGCGGTTTCCGACTAATAACTTATGTATTTTATATAATTTTAGGTCTTTGATGTGATTCTGAACAACAAACATACTGTAGTAAAGGAATTGGATATATTTCATCAAGTGGGCCGTGGTACTGCTCATGAAGAGTATGTTTATTTCATCATCTCTAATGACCGCCTATACTACAAAGATGAACAATCGGACATACGGAATGGTGTAGTCCGCTTAGATTTTATTAAAGGCCATTATGATAATCCAAAAATCAATGCCTTTGCGTTACTCAAAGGTGATGTGGCAAATATCCCTCGATTGCCGCCCACATCGGATGATATTCTCCCAATAGATTCCGATATGGCAGTTTTTAACGATCGTGTCTCTGCGGAGGGTGGCGGCAGCAGCGAAATTTCATCTGACCACATACCGGAAAACCAACAACGAAGTAAAGATGTGCCGTCTTCAATAGATGATGATATATTTGATGAAGATGAAGATAATGAAGAAGAATCATGGACAAAAAAACGTAAGGTTAGTGGTCCACGGCAGCCAGACCCATACTCCATGGATGATTCTTCAGTTATGTTGCCAGTGTTCATAGCGATTGGTGCGTTTATACCATTGCTCTTTTGTCTCTGCAAGTTGTGATTTGTTGTTACGTTTTGTACGTAAGTTATTAAGGAAGAAATGGTACTAAGTGAAGCGGATTTGTGATCTGCGCGGCTTCAGTTCACTATCGTATATACTGAACATGTTGGAACACCGCATATTGTTGCCAAGTGCAAGAGCTACATTTAAGTTCATTATTTATTTGAAATTGCATCCTGATCTCCTTGGTATAAATATTTCTTTTTTTTTGCAATATTTTTCTTTTTTTCTGACACTTTTGCTTAAACTTTCCGTAAAGCTGTTATTATTTAATTTCACGTTTATTTATATTTATGGTATTTAAAATATAAAAAAAAAGAATTTTTGGTTGTGAAGTATAGTAATGCGTACTTATTACTGATATGCGTTTTCAATAAAAACGTTCAGTGCTCAATGAATCTTCTAAAAACGCACATTGTGTTTTAGCATTTCTTAGTTTATTTTGCTTAAAGTAAAAGTGACAATTTTGAATTATAAAACATTTTCGAATTACAATAATATTAATAAATTAATTATAACTCATAACTATAATTTAATGTATGTATCTACTAGTTAAAAAAATTTTGAAAAATAGATTTGTGTCAAATTGCTCAATATATTTGATTTAATTGGTGTACGTAAGTAATTATATTCTATTATAGTGTAACAATTACACTCATTCTAGTAAAAAAACTATTGTGTATTTAGGAATTTTTCATTTATTTATTGGTAGACACTTATTCACCACTAATTCGTTAGTTTTTAACTTGGTGTACACCACGATGCGATGACATGAAGTTTGAAAGCCAATGTAAATTCTTTTGTCACATATGATGAACAAAACGTAAATAAATATTTCAAAGTTTACAAATATACGACAGTAAGAAAATTAAAGAAAATATCCGATGTATTTTTAACTAGTGTTTAAAATGAAAATCCTTTGTGAGACAGTTGTGCAAGATCGTGTAACGCAACGTAATCGTTCACCTCGCTATGTTAAATCCACTCTGGCAGTTGGATATAACAACTCCGTCAAAGACGTAGATGGAAACAGTACCAGACAACTAGAAATAATGCATTTTACACCACAGAATCAAGCGGGAGAAAGATTCAAAGTTACTAATAACATTGATAAAATATTTTCCAAGTTTTTGCGTGACGGCAAAGTTACCATTGGATTCAAAGTACCGGCGATAAATCTCATGATCAACTGCGATCCCATACCGTTGAAAGGTTTCCTACAAACTATAAAGCTTGGTTTGGAGGGAAAGGATTCAATAAACTTAAGACTGAATATAGCAGCTGCGTCAGCAATACCACAGCGCTCTAAACCACAAGAAAAATTGACGGTTTTGCGTCGTGGTGATTATCCAGTTAAAGGGTTTCCACGCACACTGAAATCATTAAAAATTTCGAATATACAGTTACTGAAAATAAGCTTTGATATTTGCTCCTTACGTAATTTGACTACGCTCGATTTAAGTGATAATCAAATTTCTAAAGTAAGTACTTTATAATCTTATATTATATTTAGGTATCTCATAAAATATTTTTTATATTTTCCACAAGGTGCCACGTGAGATGGGTCGTTTACCACTTGTGTCTTTCACTATTAACAACAACCAATTAGGTACAATTAATAATTGGGAATGGTTGCGCGGCAAAGAAATACGAAAATCTTTACGTGAATTAGATCTATCTGCCAATGAATTAAACTATTTTCCACTTGACCTAATACGCCTTGAGCAGCTGGTTGGACTTAAATTAAGTGATAATAAAATCAAACGATTGCCGTTTGGCTTCCGACGTCTTCGTAACTTACGCAACTTATATATAGCTTCTAACTTGCTTACTTCACTGCCATCCGATTTCAATCAAATGCGTATTGTAGTACTGGATCTTTGGGGAAATAAATTTGGCATGAAAATGGAGCATAATATAAGTGAAGCCGCCACTAATAAACTCAATTCTTCGCAATTGTGGCTTTTAGCAGCACGTGCAGTTTGCCAAAATAAACTGCCTTATTCCGCGGGCACAATACCTTGGTTGTTGGTCGACATTTTGGCTGAATCACCGCTTTGCGCTTGTGGAAAGCTATGCTTTGATGCTGCCATTTATGAGCGAGCTGTGATGGCTACGCTAGATAACGTAAAGACATTAGTTAGCAGTAGAGAACACTTAATTTATGCTGATATAGTATTATGTGGGATGAGTTGCGGAGGGCGAAAACAAATGATTTCTTATGAGCAACCTTAACAGAGAAGAGAGGAGATTGATATTTAAATTACAATAATATAATATAAGAGGTTATATATAACTTTCGCTACATTCAATTGCAGCATTTATATTAAAATTTCTAATTTATTTAAAAAACATTATCTTTATTTTCAAAAATAGTAAAAGTTCTATTACAAATCAGATAGCATTTTAAATAAATGTTTATGATTTAAAGATCCATTCTTCCGACAGCTGTAATCATAAAAACTAGGAGACGCGTTCATTGTACAAAATATCGAATCATCTCCCTCACGATCGTTTGACAGAAGAAAGTGCCAAAGATCGAGGGGCGTGTTCAAGTCGCCTAGTTCTAAACAGTTCCTAACACATAACTTCCAAAACAGGGTTAAATCACCGAAATAACAGTCTTTGGCGGGATAAAATCCGGGTCAATTCCGGTAACGTAGAACCGGCTTTTATGGGAATGGTTTTCGAAAAGTGCACAGCACCACCACAGTATTTAGCGTCATAAACGCCCACCTAGTTTGTGGCCTAAATCAAAAACCACTCTGTAAGGACGATCCTAGTTACATTGGACTTGTCAAAAGCTTTTGATGCAATCATACAACTTCCAGAACTGAACAGGTGGACCATGAAAAATAAACAGCAATCTCACCGATCTTTTTAGCTTCATCTCTGTAAAGAACCTAAGATCATAACCCACTAAATCCACAGCGACCGTATTCACGACCTGGACGAAGGAGTACAGATTGGATCTAAATTGATTACATGGACGACATTGACTACGAATGCAACAAACTTTAGATACGCATTGATCGCCATTCACAGTGGAGCCATCAACAACTTCACCGATTTCCTCACAGTGAATGGTGTACTTGAAGTTAAGCCCCCACGCAACTCCGTTTGAATATTGACCTTGACATACCAAATATGTGCCCTGTATGCAATTAGTACCCGCATGACTCTAACCACCTCTTTGCATGCCTAATAAAACTCACTCATTTTACATTCCTCTTCCTATGGTCCGATTCCGTCGAAACAGTACGTTTTCTGAGTTTACTGTTAGGTGACTTCGATGACAACCAACTTAAATCTTATCACCCCAAAGGGTATTAGATAACCGCTACAACAACAAAAACAAAATTGGTACTTTGACGGAACATATGTATTATTTCCTGGCCATCGATTCCTCGATTTCTCACCAAGAAGCTGATTATTTGTCGGATCGACCGATATCGGACCAATATAACATATAGCTGTCATACAAGGGGAAGTTCGGAATCAAGTACTTGTATGGAAAGCTTTTTCATATGACGAAATATCTTAAAAAAATTTGGCATGAATTATTGGCTAAGGTAAGGGTCAATCTTCGAGAAAATGGTTCAAATCGGATCATTATAGCACATAACTGTTATATAAACTGAACGATTGGAATCAAGTGCTTGTATGGAAAGCTTTTTCATTTGACAAGATCTCTTCACGGAATTTGGCATGGCTTATTATCCAAGGCAGTGGTGCAATTTTCGATGAAATTATTCAGTTCGAGTCACTATAGCAAAGTCACATTAGATCAAAGTTCTTGTAAGGAATTTTTGTTTATGTGTGTAGCTTCGGTGCAAGTGAAGTTATCGTTTTTTTTCTAGTTATAGTCTATCGTTCGTTCATAGATGCAAAGCAACTTTCCCACTTTGACTTTTCATTTTTACTGACAATCGTACGAACGCCAGTTTTATTTTATCATTTTGACGTCATAACTTTTACTCCCCCCGTTATGCAGCTTTCGTATAACTTTGCATTGCTTACAAGTATGGAACTACACACCAAATACACATAAACACATACATATATACATACGTACTATGTAGTAGAATGTAGATGACTAGATAGTATTTTTTATGGTTCTAAGCATATTGAAATATTTTTATGAGCAGACATTGTGGTGTGCGCTTAAAGTGGACGTTTGTGAGCTTAGAATGAGAAAAAAAAAACAACAACAATTACAGCCTGCAAACCATTGTCAAAAAAGTTGATGTTTGCAAAACGATTTCAATGCTTCAATATTGACCAAATGCATAGCTGTATCAGACATTTTTGTTGTATATAGTATGTAAGTATATGTATGTATGTACATATGTATATATTAAATGGGAGTTTGTGTAGGTGGTGAACTAAATAAGGGAATCCTCAACCGGGTTAGTTGATGCATTAGTATGTATTAATAAAAATGGAAGCTTAGGCAACTCTGATTTGCTTGTTGGTAGCCTGCCGAGGAAACAAGGAAACTCGCTTGCAGCCTTGTTCGACCAGTCCCTTTTGCCCAAAGATATCAAAAGTTGATTACGAAAATTTCATTTGAGCAATAAAAATAATAATACCCACACTCAAGACAAACAAATAAACAAATATGGAAATTGAAAATGTCATTATGTATATCACGTCGAATGTTAAGTGGATCAGTGTTTATTAGGGTTTTACACTATGTGAGGTTTAAGCTTTCGACAGATTTTTTATGCAACAATTTCAGTTAGTCTCACATTATATTCGTACGGAATCCAATATGCGGAGCCAATCAGATGTTAACAAGGATTTCGACAATACACTCTCAAAGATGATAGCTATAATTTGAGAGGTTTGCTTTAGTCGTCCTTGTTAACAATAAACTAATATAATCACTGTCAAGCTGTCTTGGATTCACCAGGTATTAAAGAGTAGCGATTCGAACACATCATACTAGCTTTTCAAGCAGAAAATTACACATACATATATGGTAAAAGCATTATGCAGCTGGAATTCTTTCTCAGCGCCAAACATCTTTTTAATAACTTTTCTTTTCTGGCAGACAAAGTTTTGCTGTCGTAAACAAACAGCTGCCAACCATACAGCAATGCACAGTCCGGGTCGTATGTGATCTTCAGCGTAAGTTTAAAATATTTTATAATAAAATTTGTAAATTAATTTGTTGAGAAAGAGCTGACGAAAATTTAGAGGTTGGCATATGTATGCATCACTGGTGCCATGTGCAAGTGCGCAACCGCTGCAGCAGAGGTGATTCTGGACCTCACTCCGCTCCATATCGTTGTGGAGATGGCAGTAAAAAGGTCTATTTTAGCCTGTTGTTATCAGGGCATGGTAAGAACAGGGTAATGAGCGCCAGAAACAAAGTGTCATTGGAGAGCATCTACCGTTGGCACTATTTTCTAGAGACGACATTACCAAGAGAATTCACTTTGAAAAGGGATTCAAAGTCGAATGTGAATGGGAGGACCCCATTCTTGAGGAGTACCTTCGTAAAGGCATAATGTAACAGTTCGATAGAACCGAAGCCATTCTTCGCTGTGGGCCGCACACTTTACAAGTAGAGCTACGGAAAGAGGAAAGGGCCAGTAGAAAACGGCACTGGGAACAAGTGTCTGAGCTTCGACAGGCGAGACTATTTCTGGGAGAGTTCGATACAAAATGGTTTACGAAACTAATCGCTCTTCACAAAAACGAACTTGTGATATTTTATACATGTCACTGTCGACTTCGGTGTCATCTGCACAAATTAAGGTTCTGCTCCACGGATCTGTTTCGCTCCTGTGACCAAAGGTTAGTGACACCCGGACACATACTCCTAAATTACCCCGTAACCGCAAGAAGAAGGAGTCAGACTATCA